CCCTGGACGGCAGCGCTGGAGAGTGGCCCACTGGCTGGGAGGGGGAGCGCTGGGAGGATCCTCCCCCAGCCAGCGAGGGGCCAGGGGATGCTCCCGGGGCTGTGCCGTGCCCCGACCGGCACCGTGCATGTGCCGGGATGCACCATTCCCGTCCCTTGGAAAAGGGGTCTCTCCTGAGCCTCACTGGCTTCCTCCACCAGCGGTTCTGGTCCTCTCCAAGGAGTCCAGCGTGCCACCCCTTTGTCTTGTGCCTCCTCAGAGGCATCGCTGGGCAACGTCCTGCTGATCCCTGTCCCTGCTGTTCCTCCTCTGTCCCGTGGCAGAGGCCACTGGGGCGTGGAGTCATTAGTGCTGCTCAGGGCTGTGCTGTGGGTGTGGGGTTTGTTTGTTTTGGCTCTTTTTTTTTTTCTTTCCTTCTTTCTTTCTTTCTTTCCAGGAAGCACTTAATGTTCTTGTATTTCTGGCTCCCTTTGCCACTTGAGATTTGGCAAAGACACCAACCAAGAGTGGTTTTTAAATGTCAAACAGGACAAAATGTTTTCAAACCCCTTTAGACCGAGGAGGAAATGTCAATGCTGTGTAGCTGGTGGCTTTCTGGGTCTGGGATGGCTCCTGGCATGTGTGGGCAGCAGCACCCAGCACCCAGGCTGCAGCCATCCCAGAAGGCAGCGTTGGTGCTGTGAAATACAGGCTGTTGTATTTTGGAAGTTGCTCTTGGTGCTCCAGAGGCTTGAAGGCCTGGGAGCCATGGAGAAAGGTCTCCTGGGTGTGCGTGAGGCTGAGCCTCCTCAAGGGGACATGTGGTCCCAAATGTTTGCCTTTTCCGTGTTCATCACAGCTGTGGGAAGAGCAGGAGGGCTGGATTGTAGGATGTCCAAAGGAGGAGATGCTGGTGGAAAGGAGATTTGAGAAGTTTCTCCCTGTTAGCAGGGGCAGAGGATGGCACCAGTCTCCTGTACCTGAGCATGGGTAGAGCTTCTCTTAGGCTGCTGGATGAGAGCAGGTGTGCTCTGTGTCTGACCTTGTGCAGGTCTCAGGGGGCAAGGGGCCCTCCCTGTGGTGTCCTGCCAGGCACTAGTAGGGAAAAGAAGCAAAGACCAAACCAAGGAAGGCTAGAAGGAGGAGCTGCTGTCCTGCCTGGTGCGGTGCCTTTGACCCCTGCTGCATGCCATCGAGGAGGAGGAGGAGTGATGGTTCTTCTGAGTTTTTGTGAGGTCCCTTCCCTCTGAGCACTTCTCCTGCTGACCTTTGCCTGCTGCTATTGCCAGCACTCGGGTTTGGCAATTCCTCTTCCTGCTACAAAGCCTTGATATTCCTCACCTGGAAATACTAAAACTCACGTGATGGCGTTTCTCTGAGCTGGCTGCTCAAAGGGAAGTGCCAGGGCTGTGCAATGACTTCTGAAAGCTTCCAAGCTTTTCCCAGAAGGGCTGTGCTCCCTTCTGCTCGCCTGGGCCTGTGGAGGGAGGTGTCTGTACTTTAACCCAGCACTAAAATGCCAGACTGAAGCTGTGGGTAATTTTTGCAGGTGGCTGGGCTGAAGCCTGTGGCTGAGCATCTCTGGACTCTGCTGATTGCCCAGCAGAGCCTGCCCGGGCCTGGGTAAGAGGGTTTGGATACTAGAGAGAGCAGGGCACGTGTGTATGCAGGGCTTTCTGCACGCTCAGGCGTTTCTTTCCAACGCAGCTCCCCTCTCTACCAGCACCTTCTCCTTTGTGCTGTCTCCTGGTGCCCAGAAATCAGCTGCAGCCCCACTGCTTTGTTGGCTGTGCTGGGCACGTTTGCAGGTGTGTCACACACGTATGCTGGTTCTGGGGGTCCTTGGGGCAGGCAGGTGATCCCTGATAAAGGTCTACAGTCTGCACTCGGGGGTGCAGAGTTGTGTTCTGCTCCCAGCACTGAGCTCACCCCACGGGGCAGAATCAGTCCCAGCTCCAGGGGCACCCACACCCTGGGAAGAGCAGAGCAGTGGGAGGGTAGAGTAGTGTTTTTATCGAGCTGCTGAGTGAGGAGAGCAAACATCCCAGCACTGCGTCCTCCTCCTGGATGGCACTCACGGCAGGAGGTGCCGGGTCCCCTGTTACATACTTTTCAGTTTTGATAAGCGTGTCCTGAACCTGTTGAACACTCAATCCCATGGGGATCAGCCATGGCTTGCCTCCCTGCTGAGCCATGGGCAAGCTTCCTGGGAGGGTTTCAGCTGCACAGAAGATCTTCCAGCGTGCAGAGGCGAAGTGGCTCAAAGCTGGGGAGCAAAGGCAGGAGCAGTGCTGGCTGGGGGTGTTCTCCTGTTTGTTGTCTCAGAGACTGTTCTAGCATGCCATGAAGAGGGTGCTGGTGGCAGCTGGGAGCATCCTATGCCCTATGCTGGGGTAACCTTGCCTCCTGTGCTCTGGGAGGGAGGTGGTGGGTTTGCTTTGGGGCTGCTGCTCCTCCATTCTGTGCCCTCCCACAGTCGGGGTGTGGGTTGGTGTCTCCTTGGGGAGACCCTTCCTAGGGCAGGACTGTATTCACTTACCAGAGGATAAAGCCAGAGCAGCCCCTGTGTCCTTCTTCAGTTTGCCACAACCAGCCTGGTTTGTGCTTCTTGTCATGCCAATGGGCTTTTCCCCACCCAAGGAGCATGGCCACTCCAGCAAAATTTTGAAAGTCCCTTTCCATGTAATGCCCCAGCCAAGGTGGGGGTGTTTGAGAGCTCTGCCCTTAGGCTGCATGCAGGGGGTGCATAGGCAGTAGCTGGCAGGGCAATTACACCTGGGGGAAATAGCCTTTCTGTACCAAAGAGGCTTTATGAAGCAACTGTACCCACTCCTGACGGATGCTCTTCTGGGATATAGGAGCTTTTGAGCATCCTGGGGCAGAATGAGCTGTGCAGGGCGAAAGGTGTGGAGTGGGATGAAGCTCACTTCCCTCTGCTGGGAGCTCCATAAAACCCTGATGCTGCTTTGGTGTCAGAATTCAATTTTCTTAATAAGCCTTGCCCATGCCTTGTTGCTTCTGTGTTTTCCTCTGCTGGCAGAAAGGCAGGTGGGGCAGTGGGTGCCCTTTGGTGTGGGACAGCTGAGGGTCTGGTGATCTCCACATTAAGAAGCTGTCCCTGCCTGGTGTTGCAGCACCTTTGGATGTTGCATAGCAGAGGAAGGGGCTTCCTGGGGAGTTTCTGTGTGCCACGTGGCAGTTTTTGTGTGTCTTGCCTTTTTTATTTATTTTTTTTTTCAGTCTTTAAGTAAAAACGCATCTTTGGCAACTGGGTGCAGGACAGGGATGCCCAGGCGTGTCCGATTGGAGAGTCAGGAAATGCCAAACTGCATCATCCCATAACCCCAACCCTACATTTGTCTGCACCAAGAGTCCACGGGAGAGGGGCTGGTTCCCAAACACAGCCCATGGAGCATTTCTTAGCAGTGTTGCTGCTCCCCCCGTGTGATGCAGCTCGGTTGGGGCTCTGCTCTGCAGCGAGCACTTGCCTCCACAGCTGAGCTGCTGTGTTCCCCTCCACAAAATTAAAACCCAAACCACCTCTAAACTGCTGGGTTGTGGTCTTTGAGGCTTTCTAGGCAAGTCTTACAGCAGAGATAAGGCTAGTCCTCTCTCACCTATAACTGCAGGTTATGCCCAGGGGTATGAGGGGACATCTGATGGGGTGAGCTGTGGCATTGCCAGCAACTTGCCTGGTGTTTTTCACCTGGCAAATTTTCCTGGGCTGGCCCTGGGTAGGGAGGCCGGTGCCTCCACCCTCTGTGTGTCTGCCCGACCTTTACACCCGGCTGAAGGTCGGGCTGGCGCGGGGCGGGTGCTGGGGTGGCGGCTGCTCCTGCCCAGCCTCCTGGCAGGGAGGTGCCAGCAGCTTCTGGAGGGTCCCCCACCTCTTCCTGCAAGTCTCTGCCGTGGGGATGTAGGAGCAAAAGGTGAATTCCTCTTCCCTGCTCCCCTTCCAAGGGCAGGGGCTGTGTTTTGCCTCCCCTGCCTGCTGGGGAGAGGGGCTCTGCTACCAAAAGAGCAGTAGGTGGGGACCCCCCCAGTTTCTGCGGTCGTGCTTTGCTGCTCCAGCTGGTGGGTGATGGTCTCCTGGAGGGGTTCTCACTCTCTCTGCGTGTTTTGAACTGCTCTGTAGGTCATCAGCTTGCTGAGCCCTGCCGAGCCGTTCCCTCATGGAGCGTGGAGGTCTGGCAGCCCTTGCCTGAGCTGCCTGTCTGGGGTGGGTTGGGAGCAGCTGGTACCCTGCCTGTTCCAGATGCCCTGCTTGGATGCCTGCAGAGTGCTGTAACCTCTTTAGCTTTGCCCTCCCTCGTGTGCAGGCTCATGGGCAAGATGCCTCATGGGCAGGCCTCTCTTGGCACTCGGGGTGGGGGCAGCTCTGCCTGCACTGACCAGCCCTTTCCCCACAGAGTACAGCCGCTTTGAGTCCAAGATCCACGACCTGAGGGAGCAGATGATGAACAGCAGCATGAGCTCCGGCTCTGGCTCGCTCCGGACAAGTGAGAAGAGATCCCTCTATGTCAGGTAAGGCTCAGCCCCCTCCATTCCCTTGCTCCCAGCAGTGGGAGGCAGATGGGATGGTATATCCCCACAGGATGGGGTGCAGGGAGGGTTGGCTCAGCCTGGGCTGTGCAGCACCTCTGAGGACAGTGTTTCAGAGGCCAGGGGAGCAAGTGCTGTAGAAGCACCACGAAATCCGGAGGGTGCAGCAGGGAGAGCGGTGCTTTTGCACTGGGTTGCCTAGGCTAGGTGCTCTGCACTTGAGTGTCTCTTCCAAGGGCTGCTCCATTTTGGAAAGCAGTGGTGTCTCTACAGAGCCCGGGGTGGCTGCTGGCCATGCCAACCTGCTGAGGACCACTGGAGAGCTGGGAAATAATGGGCACCCAGCCTTGCTTCTGCCCCAGACAGCTCATGGCAGCTTTCAGGGTGCTCTGCTCAAACCACTCCCAGCTAACAGGGAGACAGGCTTCTCCATGTCTCCTTCTGCCATTCCTGTGGCAGGATCTGGCTGGATGGGAGATGAGCTCTTAGGAGGATTATTGCTCTGAGCCCTCGCTGCACTTTTGGTCTGGAGCCAGGCATGGGGCAGGCAAGGGTTAAACAGCCATGCAGCAATACCTGCTGTGAGTCCTGTGCAGCCAGGACAGCCCCTGCTTGCTGCCTGCCTCCTGGCACCTCATGCCTGCCACAGTGCCAGTGGGGTGACAGCTAATGAGTAATTTTAACTTGGTAATTAAAATAATCCTGTAAATCCTCACCCTGCACAGCCTGTTGCAGGTGGGCCTGGCAGGAGCAGGGCATGCTTCTTCCCTGTGAGAAGGATGGCAAGGGCTGAGGCTGCACGAGCCTCAGCCTGCATCTCCCATTGCACAGCTGCTCTGTGGAGGGGTCTTCAGGCATGGTGGATGTGATGCAAGCCTGGCCTGGCAGGAGGGGAGAGCTGCAGCTCTGGGTTCCTGCAATTCACACCTTCCCACAAGTCTGTGCAGGCAGCTTGCTTGATTTAGTATCCCCGGGCTTCCTGGGGGTGTGTGACAAGTGGGCACTATGTTGAATAAACATCATCTTGCTAGTCCTGCCCTTATTTCCCTGCTGTCCTGTGGACACCCTCATGTGTGGAGGAGGTTTAGGCCAGTCCAGCTTGAGTTGAGCCTGTTCCCTGCCTGGAAAGGTGCTGTATGTATCGGAGTATTCCTGTGAACCAGAGAGCTCTCTGTTGCTTCCATGCTGCTCATAGCATCTCTTGGTGCATCTCTCCGTGTGGCTTTGGAGGCCTCCACAGCACTGTGTCCCCTCACACATGCCCAGTGGAGCAGGGCAGTGCCTTGCTGAGAGGGTATCCCAGGGGAGAGCTTTCCCCCAGTGTGGCCCTTCACAACATGCTCCAGCTCTGGTCGACACACACCCTGCAAATGTGCTTGCAAGAACTGCTGGGCGCCCAGGCTGCCCCAGCCCTTCTGGGCGGGGTAGTTTCAAGCACAGTTTACCCGAAACCAGCTGAGCTGCTGTGCTGTGGACAGGACATCAATTACAGGACTTGCTACCCAACTGCTTGAGTCAGCCCCATGCAGCTGCACTGCATCCTGAGTGCTGTGGACAGGCTGGAGCTGGGCACCCGAGTGCCTGCTGGAGCCGAATCAGGGGTGCTGGAGCTGCAGCCGTGCAGCATGGGCAGGGACAAGGCATGTTCACATTCTGCCTGTCACCTGCCTGCACTGCTGCGGGGCAAAGTCTGCCAGCACTGGGGTAGGGATGGAGGTCAGGCAGGCATTGTGCCTGGGTACCGGGAGGAAGCCATGGGAGTCCTTGGCACTGCTTCCCTCCCCTCCAGCCAGACCATCTGCTCTCCTGGCTGTTTGTGCTGTGAGCTGGCCTGGGGGCAGAGCGGAGCGACCGTGCTGCAGTCTGGCCCCTGCGCCCTGGGGAGCACCCAGACATGGTGGGTCCTGGGTGCCAGCACAGCCAGGGGCTGGTCTGCAGGAGCATCGTGCCTTGGGGAGGCAAATGCCTCGTGTGCCGGCTTTGCAGGTGTCCAGCCCTTGCACAGGTCCTGCTGTGCCTGTCCTGGGATGTCGGTGGCTGCTGCGGGAGGAGCCACGGGCCCAGCACTGCTCTGCAGGGCAGGGTGCATGAGTGGGCAGGGCTTCCCTGGGTTTGGGAACCGGCCTGACCAGTTCCCTGGGGCCTTGGCCAGCGGCACAGGCCTCACAGCAGCCTGCCAGCCGCATGCAGCCTTATCTTTTGGCCAGGAGCTGCCTGCAAGGCTTATTTACCTCCAGCCAAAGCACCCGTTGGTGCTTTGCTGCCGGCTCCAGTGTGCTGAGGGACGAAGTACGAGACCTGCCCCAGCCCTGAGCAAGCTGGGAAAGGTGAACTGACCCAGTGGCTGAATGTATCTGGATGCATAGGACACACTGGGGCTTGTCCCAAAGAGCCCTCCCCAAGCCACAGGGCAGCCCCTCTTCTCATCCCCATTTGAGACCCAATCCCAAGTGACCCAAAAGGTTTCATAGCCCAGCACTCCCATGGCAGAAGTGCCATCTCAGCTCTGCTGCTCCATGGGGATGTGCCACGTGGTCCCTCAGCCCTTCCATTTACTGTGTGCTTTTAGACCCCTTTCAGTCTCCTCAGTAGATTTATGGTAATGAGCAGAGCAGAGGATGTCTCTCCTGCTTGAGGAAGGCTTGTTAGTGCCAGGATTAAACCAGCAGTGAGCCAGCGTTTGCAGTGCCTGGGCTCACGGTGGGCTGAGGGGGCGAGCAGGGCCAGTGTCCAGAAGCAAACACAGGGGTTGTGCTGCCAGCAGTGGCAATTTTTAGTGACTCTTCCCTTGGTTTGGTTTGTTGCACAGTTGATGTGTTAAAGCAGACGTGGTTTGAGATCTGACATAGTAAAATGAGTTGCACATGAAGCCACTGAGAGCAGCTTATGGGTATGTGTCCGAGTAGTGTGTGCAGGAAGAGTAGTGCTCTTCTAGTGAAAAAAAAATCCTTTCTATAGCTGGTTAGTTTAATATTGAAGATAATTTTAAACTAAATAAACTATTCTCAGGGGAGGTATTTAGGAGACTGAAGAGAATCAGCTGTGGAAGCAGATATATATACCCTCAGATGCATTCCTAATTCACAGGCTCTGGACTAACATAAAATGTGTGCTCAAAGCCATCGTGGTTTCTGCCTGTGCAACCACCAGCAGTGGGGTCTGATGTTCCCCATCCTGCTCCTTGACACCACAGCCACGGAGGGACGGTGGGGAGCAGCCCTCCTGCAGGCTGCTGCTGTGAGCCTCACCTGCTCTCTAACCACAGGCGCCTGCAGTGCATCTGTGGTTCGTGTGCCTCCTGCAGCTGAGGTCAGGAGCGAGCTGTTTTGGCCCAGCACTGTTGTTCTTGCACTGCACACTTCAGGGAGGTGTGCTGAGCCTGCCAGCGGAGGGGTGTGCTGGTGGCTGGCAGCACTGCTCACCTTGGTGGATGGAGTTTTGGTTTAAATCCTCTGAGGTGTGAAGGTGGCAGTGCCCCAGGAGGTTGGCAGTGCTGCTGCCTCGCTGTGCTCAGAGAAGGCATCGCTCCTCTCTGCTCCCCCACAGAGCCCTGTTTGACTATGACCGGACCCGGGACAGTTGCCTGCCCAGCCAGGGGCTCAGCTTCTCCTACGGGGACATCCTGCACGTCATCAACGCCTCCGATGACGAGTGGTGGCAAGCCAGGCTCGTCACACCCCACGGCGAGAGCGAGCAGATCGGGGTCATCCCCAGCAAGAAGAGGTGAGTGTCTGTCAGCAGGAGCTGTCACACATGGTGCCTCCTGGAGCCCCCCAACCTCTGTGAGCCCTGCAGCCCTGAGAGCTCTGCTCAGGCTGGGGTCTGCAGTGCACTGCCCTCCGTGGCTGTGCAGCGTGCAGGGCACCTCGATTGCAAGCTGGGGCTTTGTGCGGGTCTCCCTAGGGAGGTGTTTTCCAAAGCTGGGTGAGATTCCAGGTGAGGAGGGGAGTGTTCAGCCCCCTCTGTGGTCCCTGTGGGGATGGAGAGTTGGTGTTAGCCAGCCTGGGGTTCCAAGTGAGAGCAGAGTCAGAGCAGTGACTGTGGGCTGCTCCCTGTGTCCTCAGTCAATCTGCCCAGCTCTGCGAGCCGGGTCCCATCAGGTGGGAAGTCACAGAGAGCAGAGGAGCTGGCTGCCCTTGCCTTCAGGTCTGCACAGCCAGCCTCATGTCTGTCCTCCATCCCCCTGGGAAGGCTGGTTGCTTGTTCCCTGTCCTGCTCCTGCAGCCACTGGCCTGGGCCAGACCCTGGGCAGGCAGTTCCACATCTGTCCTTCCCTGGAAAGGAGTTGCCCTTTGCCAAGGGGGCCACCACCTGAGGGTGCCTGGAGCTGCTTGAGGAGCCATATGGGCAGCATGGAGGGCACATGCATGGGACTAGCAGCTCTTTCTCCCCTTTAACTTCTGATCAGGGTGGAAAAGAAGGAGAGAGCACGATTGAAAACAGTGAAGTTCCACGCCAGGACTGGCATGATTGAGTCCAACAGGGTAAGTGCTGATCTGGGGCTCAGCGGGGCACCTGGAGCTGGTAACTAGCGAGGGCAGGATGAGTCCCAGCAGCCAGAGCTCCCAGTGGGGCAGCTGGAACAATCCCAAAGCAAAGAGCAATGTCACTGGACCTGCCCCAGGCCCACATCTGCTTGGCACAACCCCCTAATGACTGTGTAGGAATTGAGCAGAAGAGTCCAGGATGGTGCAGAAGTATTGGGGAAGGAGTCCTGGTTGGAGTGGTGGGGTAGCAGAGCCTGTGTCCAGGAGCTGCCTGCAAACAGCTCATGAAGGTAGCTGCCCTCATGCCTCATGAGCAGTGCTTAACATGCCAACAAGGAAGGGAGAACAGCCTGGCTACCCCTGCAGAGCTGCTGATTGCCCCATCAGCTTCCCAGCATCCCTTCCACATGTTTTTCTCCATGCTTAATTTTTTTCCTGCATTACAGTTCTCATGTAATCTCCATGATTTCATTTGAGGGTAACTGCCCTGACACAGCTCCTCATTGTCTCTTCATTTTAATTTTCCCCACATGCGTTAAACACCATTGTTTTTTCTGTCCTCCCTTCCATCTCCACGTTCTTCAGTCGATCAAAACGAAACGTAAAAAGAGTTTTCGCCTCTCTCGAAAGTTTCCATTTTACAAGAGCAAAGAGAACCTGGCCCAGGAGAGCAGCGGACAGGAACGTAAGTAGCCGCTGGCCAGAGAGGGCAAGCCTGCAACCCTCAGGTGCCCTGCCCTGAGGGGAGAGATTCAGCACATTTCCACAGCCAGAGGTCCTGGCATTTGCCTGGATTTCAGGACTGTGCTCCACAGTTGTGCCAGCAGCTAGAGAGAGACCGGAGCTTGAAACAACAGCAACAGCTGCAGGCTGGCACTCCTTTCCTTTCTCTCATGTTCAATGTCTTCATCTTTTCATCCGACTTTACACCCACCTGACTCCCTGCTCTGCCTCCCCCTGCTCTCCACCCTTTGCTGCGGGCTCTGCTCCCTCCCTCCGCCTGCCAAGGGCTGCTTCCCTCCGAGTGAGGGGCTGGCTACCTCCTGCAGAGCTTCTCCTGTTCCTGTCAGGGCTGAGGGCCTAGGAAGGTTCCAGCTCCATCTCCCCTAGAAGTGACTTGCAGCTCTGTATTCCCACTGGAGAGCCCTTCCCTGTGTGCACGGGGGAGCCGTGACCCCGCTGGTGGAGGAACTGCCCACCTGTGACTGAGGCACACCTTTGGTAGCTGGTTGCAGATGTTGGGGGGTCCCCAGCTCTTGTCTGGCAGCACCCTGGGACTCTTAGCAAAGGCAGGTCATTCAGCTTGTTGCCCCAAGCCCTGATGTGGGCAGCACTGGAGCTGCTCACCAAACCCAGCCCCTCCTCCTAGATGGTAAACTGCATCCAGTCCTTCAGCAAGCCGTCACACCTCTGGAGAAGGCAGAGCAGTGTCTCTGCCCCAGTACCAGCACAGCAAGCACATCCTCTCCCCTCTGGGGCTGCCTTGGGTGTCATACAGAGCCAGGAGTTGTTGCTGGGCTGCTCTGGATGCTGCCTGCATCCCTCTGGCATGGTGTCCATGCCAGGCTAGTGCCAGCTTCCAGTGATCTTAGCAGCCAGCACAAGCCTCTAGCCTGCACTGAAGGTTATGTCTGTGTGTCTGGGTATCTCTAGTAGTGCCTCCATGTGGCTGGGCTCCAGTCAGCTCCATGCCGAAGCTGGGGGCTCGCTGGGGCCCTGCTTTTGGCCAACCCTGCAGTGAGGTGACATACAGCACAGGGATGAGGCAGGCCACAATCTTTCAGCTTGTGTCACAGACCCACAGCCAGCTCCCTCCTTGTGCTCTGCCACTGTCCATCCCAACTTGCAGGGGGGCCCCCTGCAAGCCCATGCAAGCACTGGGGTGTGGGGGCAGCTGACACATGCAGGTGGGGAAAAGCGTGTCCCCTTGCACATGTTCTAGGACTGGCTTGCTGTGCCTGGCCCCAGAGTGGCCAGGCTAAGCCAGGGGAGCACAGAGCCACTGTGCCCTGCCACTGTGCTCCTCAAGGAGAAACACTTTGGCCCCCCCTGTCCTGTGCCAGCAGATCAGGGCTGCAACTGCTCAGTGCCAGCAGATGCTGCCAGGGCTGTCCTGCCCTTCCCAGATCCAGAGTGGCCCTTGGGGGCTCTGTGGCAGAGGGTGAGCTCGGTGGGGGGTCCAGCTGCACAAGGCAAGACGTTGGCAGTGGGCTGATAGTGTCAGCTCTGAAAACACTTAACCTCACTTGCAGTTGCAGCTCTGGGCCATTCTGCACTCCTGTCACTAATGCTGGTCTGGCTCTGTCTCCCCCATCCCTCTGACTCCCCTTTCCTGCGCTCTCTTCTCTCCCCCTGTCTCCCTTCTTGCTGTCTGTGAAATCAGGACTTCCCTGGGTTAAGTGACGATTATTATGGAGCAAAGAACCTGAGTAAGTTGAATTCCAATGCACATTGTTCCCTTTCCGTTGCTGGCGGTGCCTGGGGAATGGCCTGGCTGTGGCTGGGGCAGCTGTGCTTCTCTGGGTGTGGGGCAGGAGGAGCCCCCCGAGTGCTGCTCCACTGATGGGGACCCCACGTCTGGTGGCAGAGGCTGCAAGGCTTAAGGTGCCAGTGCTGCACATGGGACAGGATGGGGGAGCTTGTTTGGGGGTGTTGGCCATGCCCTAAGTGCGCTCAGCTGAGGGCTGCCTGCTGCACCCAGGGTGAGCTGTACCTCCTCATCCTCTTCTTCATCCTGCTCCTGGCTGGGCTGGTTGTTGCTTTAGCACTCAGAGCCACTACCAGTGTGGGTGGAAGGAGGCCATGACCATGACAGGCCTGCTCTGAGTGGGGTTGGTGACAGCATTTTGAGGTGTTCCCACCTTCCTCTGGGTTACCACTACCCAGAGCTTCAAATCAACACTGGCGAGAGCCCCATGGCCCTCCCAGCGAGTCCCCACCAAGCTCGTCACCCCCCAACCAGTGCAGAGCCTGACAGGGGCAGGCAGTGGCCAGCAAGCCTCTGTGGGGTGGTCGCAGCACTAGGATCAGCCTGTGCAAGCAAAGCCCCAAACTCTGTCCCATCCTGTCACTGTCTTGTCTCTGTGCGTCCCAGCCCCATCCCAGAGGTAGGCTCCCCTCTCCCTGTGCCAGAATGGAGCCGTGCCCTCCCTGCCTGCTGTGTGCATGCTGCACCTGCTCCCCCTGCCAGCACCCTCCTCCTTGTGCACTCCACCTTCCCTCTGTCTGGGAAGCCCAGTGCCACTACCACGTCTGCCCACACCTGCCAGGCAGCCCTCCTGGCATTCCTGCCTTCTCCCAGAGTAGCCAAGCATCCCCCTGCATGTCCCCCATTCCCCAGCAAAGGGTAAAAGATGCCGCCCTTGCCCATGTGGCACAGACTTGTCCCAGTGGGTGCTGGGGCACAGGTTTTTTGGGAGGCCAGTGCTGTCCTGCCCTGGATCAGTAGTGCTGGGTGACAGCCTGGGTGCCCCTGTGCCTCCCACCCATGCTCCTTCTGAAGGGGATCTCTCTGGTTGCTTTGCAGAGGGCGTGACATCAAACACCAGTGACAGCGAGAGCAGTTCCAGTAAGTGTGTCTCACCTGCTCTCCCAGCCCGTGTACGTGTGTGTGTGTCCCTGTATGAGTGTGCACGTTCTGGCACTTCCATCTTGTCTTGTCCCAGTGGTGGTTCTGTTCGGAGGCTGGTCCTTCCTGCTGGTGACACAGATGCTGCGGCCAGCTCCCTCCTGGGAGCCAGGGAGAGCAGGGGCTGGGGAGCAGGAACAAACCTGCCTGCTCCACTGCTCACTCCTGGATGCAGGGCTCTGCTCCAAGCTTGGGTGGTGGGTTCCCAGTCCATGGTGGTCACCCATCCTCGGTGCCCGCTGCAGGAAGCGATGGCCAGAGGCCAGGTCTGTAGCATAGGTGACTCCTGGAGCCCAAACCTGTACAAGAACATGGGATCCAGCTGCAGCAGATGCTCCCTTTGTCCCCAGCAGGTCCTCTAAATACCTGCAGCACACCCGCCATCCACCCTGCAGGGAGGATGGTACATTCCAATGGGCCCAGAGCCTGCAGCGGTGGGGAGGGAAAGAGGAGTCTTGAACCAGAGCTGGGACATGAATAATTGAAGTGGCTCAAGGGCTGGTAACTGCATGCCTGTCATGCTCCACATCCATGGGTGGAATGATGTGGGCAGCCTGGAGTGTCCCCAGAGCTGCAGGAGTCTGGAGGGGCAGGAGTCAGCTTCTCATGGGTGCAGAGGGGCTGGAGAGCTGCTGTGAGCGCTCACCTGCCTCTCCCTGGCTCTGTTGCAGAAGGACAAGAGGACACCATCCTGTCGTACGAGCCCGTGACACGGCAAGAAAGTAAGTCCTGGTGCTGAGCTGCCCCACTCCTGCTCCAGCGTGGCCACCTGTGTCCCCAGCCCAGCCAGGGTGGCCGGGGTGCCCTCCTCCCCTCCTGCCATCCCAGCACCATGCCGGGTGAACACAAGTGGAGTCTCGTGTGTTGTGTGCAGCAGGAGAGCCAGGAGTGCAGCTGCCTTGCTGGGCTCTCCCCAACCTTGACTGCCCCTTTTCAATCAACAGAAAAGACTTGTGACGTGGTCTGCAAGACCAAGGGAGAGATCCAGAGCTAAAACTGAGCTGGGCTTTAGTCCTCAGTTGAGGACAGGATTATCCCTTCCTGCCTCAGACCAGGTCCCTGCTGCAGAGCAACCCTCCTCCCCTGGCCCTCAGCCTGTAACCCTGCTTGATGCTCAATCCCTGCAGACCCTTTTGCAGGCTGAATATTCCCAGCCTCGGTGGTCTCTTCTTGCCAGAAGCTGGATCTGACTTTTAGGCTCCCATCACTCCCCCAGCTCCATGGCATCCTCACCCAGCTGTCCTGGTTGCCTGGCTCCTGCCCCAAGCAAGGGAGCAGCTTTGCTGATCCACGACCCTGGAGACCTGCAGCACCTTCCCCGGGGCCACGCAGATGGTTTGGGTCAGATGGGAAGGAGATGTTGACCGTGACCAGGAGGAGATAAACTCGCACGGAGGAGGCACCTTTGGGTGCCCATGTGAGCAAGAGCACCCACTGCCAGGAGGGAGAGGGCAGGTCGATGCCAAAGGTGGCAGTAGGGTCAGCTGCCCGCAGCACAGGTGGGGCCTCAGGTTGTGGCTCTTGTTCACAGTTCACTATGCGAGGCCGGTGATCATCCTGGGGCCAACAAAGGACCGAATTAACGATGACCTCATCTCGGAATTCCCACACAAGTTTGGTTCCTGCGTGCCCCGTAAGTCCCAGCTGACATTCAGTGCTCTTGCTGGAGGGAGGGGAAGGTGGGGGCTCTGCTGCTTGTGGGGTCTCACCCACAGCATGGGGAGGGGGCCGGGAGCACTGGTGGGTTTTCCCCCTCCCGGTTTGGTGTGTGTCACTCGGGTTCATTCTTGGTGCCCACTCTCCTCCAGACACTACCAGGCCTCGGCGGGAGAACGAGGTGGACGGACAGGACTACCACTTTGTTGTATCCAGGGAACAGATGGAGAAAGACATCCAGGACAACAAGTTCATAGAGGCTGGGCAGTTCAATGACAATCTCTATGGGACCAGCATTCAGTCAGTGCGAGCAGTGGCAGAGAGGGTGAGTGTCAGGTGGCATTCCTGGGACTGGGACACAACCAGCCTGAAACCATACACATTCAGCAGTTCCTCTCCTTTCCCTGTGTTGTTAGTGAAGGGCTGTGACCACATTAAGTAAGTGTGGCACGAGCCTCTCCTCCCTTGAGTCCTGCCAAGCCATGTGGCTGCTTTTCTCAGCCGTGTTACTCTACTTCACTGTCATACCTTTGTCATCCAAACTCCGCCCGAAAGCCCAGCACTGGTGGCACCAGCCTTGTGCTTGGGAGTTCACAGGACAAAGGTACCTGACTGCCCTCAAAGCAGCAGCATTCCTCTGCAGGAGTGCTGGAGTTACCAAGGGCTTGTAAATCATTTCACATGTCCAGGCAAAAATTTAGTCCTTTTGCATTGGTACTGTCCTGCCCTGAGCAGGCAGGAACATGATGCCACTGGGAGCTGGCTTGTGTCTGAGGACTGGGGTTTCATCTCTGTGGCTCCTCTCCTTTGTAAGCACATCTGTATGAGCAAGCTGTTTTCTGCACAGAGTAGAATGTGTGGGCAGGTCTGATCCCAGCTGTCTCCTTTCCAGGGGAAACACTGCATCCTGGATGTGTCTGGCAATGCTATCAAGAGGTTGCGACAAGCACAACTGTATCCCATTGCCATTTTCATCAAACCAAAATCCATCGAAGCTCTCATGTAAGTGCAGCACCGTGTTCTGTGCCACTCCAGGGCAAGGAGCTCTGGCACGTTGGGGGGCTGTGTCTGCTGCCTTTACTTTTTAGAAAGCAGCAGAGGTTGCTTTTGGTGCTGAACTTGTCCCTTGTTAAGTAGGAGCTGGGCCCATTGCTGTCTGTGTGATGTCCCTCCACATCTAATGCCATAGTGCATCCAGGCTTTCTGGATTTCTCTGGCTTAAAGCCCTTCATTCATCCCAAAGAGGATCATCCATGGGAAATGTAAAAATGCTCCCAAATGTGCCTGGTGTAAACTGCTCACCTGGGCCCAGAAGAGCTGTTGAGAGCCTGTAGTGCTGGATCACAGCTGGGTGGTGGCTGAGCCTGGACAGCCCTGGGGAACAGAGAGGGGATGCTTCCTATGTGCCTAAGGGGACCTTCTGCCTGTCTTGTTGTTCTGGCCTGGGATAGTGCAAGCTGGAAAGGATGTAAGAGCTGAGGTTTCAACTCTTCTGAGCAGCAGAGAACAATATCTGTGAGGAGGTTCAACAGCTTGAGACTGACTCTGAGATCAGAAGAGACTCTGCTGGGATAACCCCTTCTCAAGCCAGAAGGGGTCAATTTGCTTATTTGGGTGTTTTATGAAGATGAGGAAACCTAGGCAAGGAGGGTGGTGACAGGCTCTGGAAAAGCTGGGAGACTTCTGCAGTGGTCTTGCAAATTCAGGGAATTGTCTGGATTTGAGTTCACTCCTGTGCCGTGGTGAAGGGGGGAGGTGGTGGCAGTGGGAAGAACAGTTGGAAGTTGAGATGAAGTGCCAAGGCAGCCTGGAGCACGTGGGGAAGGGCCCTGCCTTTGAGAGCTGGGTCCTGCACAGCTTCCATTCCTATGAGCACAGGATTCCCAGGCACCCTGGCTCTGTGGGCTATTTTTGGTTCTGTTCATTGCGAAGAAAAAGAACTACAAGTTTCTGTTTTTTTGTGCATGGCAGGGAGATGAACCGGAGACAGACGTATGAACAGGCCAACAAGGTCTTTGATAAAGCCATGAAACTTGAGCAAGAGTTTGGAGAATATTTTACAGGTGAGTGTCCTGAGCAGGCTTGTATCTGATTTATTTCATTTTTCCATCTGACAGCTGTGACCTCTCTACCAGCACTGTCTCACTGCGGGGTCATGGGAAAACATCCAGCTTCATCAAAGCAAAAAAGAAATGGCAGTTTGCCAGGAGGGCTCTGCAAGGGGACTGCTCCAAGATCAGTGGATAAGAGTAAACCAGCTGTAGAGAAGGAGATGAGTTGTCAGGCAGAATTTTCTGAGTTTGTGAAAGCTTATTGCCAACTTTAGTACTACTAAAGGGGAAGCACAGCAGAGATTCAGGGTGCTGCAAGTCTCCAGGAAATAAACTCCCTGCGTGGGGAAAAGGGGAGCATTTTCAAAAAGAGGGAAGTGTCGTTTTTAAAGAGGAAAGATAAAAAATTAGTGACCTAAATAGTGGAGACTGTCCTGAGTTATTACAAAACATCTCCCAAAAAAGACTGGAAGTTTGGCTGACTTCCTAAGTAGTCTTTGCTGAAGAGTGAGGCTGGGGCTGCTGGCACTTTGTGCCTGTAGAGATGAGCTGCTCATGACATAGGCATCCTTGTGCATTAAGGAACTAATGTTTGTAACATGATTAATTGTGGAAAATCATGGGCAGGCAAAGACGCAGAGAAACTGGTCTTCCATCTTTTCTTCAGAGCAGTAACTGTTAATTCTAAAGCTGAGGAGTCATAATCCTGCCAAACCCTGTATTACCCACCTAACAGCTACTGGGAAAAATCCCAAGCAGAACCTTTTTCAAAAATTGATCTTGTATGAACAAATGTCTGGGTAGAAACAGGGTAAGAGCTTTCCCCAGACCTGTCCTGGGCAGCAGCTTCAGAGCTGCTGGCTGTTATTCCAGGGGGCTGTGCTGCAGTTTTGCAGGCCCTCAGCACACCACTGTGCCCTTGGAGGGTGAGTTTGAGGGTGACCTGGGGAAGGAACACCCTTGGCTGAAATGTCGTGTTGAAGGAACTGGGTAATGGGCAGAGAGATGGTCACTGTCACAAGTTCTGTGCCAGCAACTTAAAATGAGGGAACAGAGATGCTGGAGAGTACAGAGACAGGCTGGATTACCAGGAAGCTTTGGCCCCCCATGTGCATGTCCCTGTGATGCAGGAAGCACAGTGAAGTGCTTCGTGCTGTGTCTGTGCTGGGCAGTGAGGCCGTCGCTGCTCTTTGAGCCAGAGTTGCTGGGAGCGGCCGTGCCGTGGCCTTTCCCGGCCTGACAGCACACAATCCTCAGCCTGCAGCAGGGGAAGCAGCAAACAGAAGGAGCCCTCAGCAGCCAACCAGAGAGTACAGACCAACCCAGCACCTCAGGGCAGACTGATGTGCCCCAGCCTTGCCTCCCCTCGCTCGGGTTCACCGCGGCGCAGCAGTGGCGGTGGCAGTGCCAGGCCCACCCACAGCCTCGGTGCCTGACACAGTTTGCAAAGCTGATTAGCAGCCTGGTGTGGAGAGCCCAGCCAGCCCTGCACACACTGAGGAGCTCTGCCAGCTGGGATCAGTGCTGGCTAATCCCCGGGGAGGTGCTGGTTTAACCCTCTGTGTCACAGTGGGGCTGTTGCAGCTCCTCTGACACGGTTCAGTCCCTGCTGGCTGTGCCCTCCAGCCCCTTCGGGACAGAGGGAAGGTCCTCCTGCAGCTCATGGCAGGGAAGGGAAGTGCTGCCTGATGCTCAAGGTCTTGCTTGTTCTCTCCTCTTCCAGCCATCGTACAAGGAGACTCTCTTGAAGAGATTTACAGCAAAATCAAACAGATCATTGAGGACCAGTCCGGGCACTACATCTGGGTCCCGTCCCCAGAGAAGCTCTGAAGATGTCCCCTACCTGCTTCCTTGTGAGCAGAAGATCTCTGAAGTCCCACCCATCCAAGCCCTCTGCCCTGAGGGGGAGGGATATGAAAACTATTCCTGCCCCCTTTTTTAGATCGTCGCAAAATTGAGTTTTCTAGTCCTGTTTCTTTTGTTGGGATGAACTCATATCATTCATCACGTGACTGTTCCCACCATTCCTGCATGGACCTTCCCACTGCTCCATTAGAGACAGATGAGAACCCATTCAAGGTCGTTTTTTATTATTATTATTATTATATTATTATTATTATTATTATTATTATTAACTAAACAAAGAATCAAGATGGGAGGAGGCGGATAAGGACTAATGTAAGAAACAAGTGAAACAATGGACTCTGAACATGAGCTGGTATCAGAGCTCCAGGGGCATTTTTCCAAGTGTGACTGTCTAGCAGCTCTGAACAGTGCGACACACGGGCAGCAGAAAGCATTTTATTTATCTGTATATGTAATTTATATATAATATATAGAGAGATATTATATATATATTATATATATATATGTATGTGGACTAGGAAACCTGAGGGACCTCTCTGGAAAGGTATTGTGTTATTGCAAGGTTCTTTCAGTTCCTCTGTCCCAACCACTGGGCGTAGGGAGTCCACTTGGGCAGGAAGAGCTCAAAACGGTACCAGGTGCTTTGGAAGCATCTCCCATCCAGGCCAGTTCCCTGCAGCCACCCTGGGTCTGAGGCAGAGCAGAGACTGGTACTGCCTGTGCAGGAGGGACCAGAGCAAGGAGCAGCAGCTGGTCTGAGAGAGGCTGGGAGACAGAGACTGAGCAGGAGGCTGCGGAGCAAGAGAATGGATGATACTACATATTAAATTGCACATTGTTTTACACACCACCTTATGTGTTTGCATGAGAGGTTTCCTTTTGGTTCTATTTTTTTAAGCTGATTTTAAACCAAAACCATATTGTGTTGTTGTGTTGGCTTTTTTTTTTTTTTATTATTATTATTATTATTCCATTTTTCTCTTGTTAATAATGAACTGAATGGGTATAAAATCCAGTTTTTTAACTTATTTTTTAAGCTGGCTCTATTGTAAATAGAATCTAGATCTGTGGTGTTTAGTTAAGAAATACTCTACTGGCCACATGGAACAAATGTACTCACTGTCCTGTGTTGCTGTGGAAAACCTGGGATGTTGGACTGGCCCTGTACCTGTGGGTGCAGGTGAAATGACCCATTCTAGCTCGTGGCAGCACACTGACATTCCCTTCTGCATTAGCCACTGGCAGGAAAAGCCCCCAGCTGTGCCTTGGATGGACACTCACATTTTCCAAATCAGTAACAGAACTGAAAAAACTTCCTCTCTTCCCTGCTCCATGCCGGATCCCTGGCTCTGCTGCGTGCAGGTGCCAGTGGTGGCTTTCCCAGTGGGAGGCCCATCCTTCCAGCACGGCAGGACCTCGCCTGCTGGGAGCTGGGGCTTGGCGGGTGACTGCGTGGCCACCTTTGCCTGGTTCTGTCTCTGGCACCTCTGCACGAATCCTGTTCCAAAACTGGGCTCTGCTCCCCCTCTCGGGGTGCCCCCAGAAGGCCGAGGTGGTGCCGAGTGCGGGCAGGGCTGAGGGCAGGGGGTGCAGAGCTGCCCCTCCTGCTGGGCACTGGGATTTTTCAAGTGAGACAACTGTGAGCACCCAGACTGTTGGCCCTGAGCTGAGACATGTCTGTCCTTGAGGACACCTTGGTTTCCATACTTGAGTGAGGGCTCCAGTGTGGGAATAGACCCTGTGTGAAGCCGGGGGGACACTCGTGTGGCCTTTGAGAAGGAGCTGTGCTGCTGGGCACCTGTGCAGGTACGAGCACTCCCACCTTGCACAGAGCTGGCCGAGCACCAGGGCAGAGGTCACTGCACAAGCACGAGCAGGTAAGTGTTCTCCTCCTGTTTGGCAGGGATGGGTGAGGGCACGGGGTGCTGGTCCCCTCTCCCAAAGGCAATGGGTGTGTCAGTCTGCCTGGCACACACAGGCCGTGGTTGTCAGTGCGAGCAGGAACTGTAGGACTGTCCCTGTGCTGTCTGGGGAGAAGCCCTTCTTTGCCCCTCCTGCATCCCAAGGAGCCCTGCAGGGACTGAGCAGCTTCTGGGGACAGGAGGCGGGACACAGACGCAGCCGCGGTGGAGGGCAGGAAGGATTCTGCTGTCGGGGGACCGACCTTAAAGGAGCACATGGAACTCTGGCAATGGATTCCCGCTCAGCATCCACCCCCTGCCCCGCTGCTCCTGCTCCGGCTGCTACAAATGTCGGTCCCTGGAGAAGTGGAGTAAGTCAAACAAAAGTCCTTAAGGTGCTAGTCACACCATTCCTGTATTTTTTTTTCCTTTTTCTTTTTTTTTTCCTAATAGCCTGTCTCCCTCTGTCGAGTCACGTGGAGAAAAAGATGATGTACTCCATGGCATAGCTGACAGTATCGAATCGATCATGACAACAGTAGTTGGTTAACAGTGTTTCTTCCAAGGAGACATATATTTTTAATAAACAGAGAGTTGCAAAGAACTCTGTCTTTGAGACCTTCTTGTAGAGTCCTTCATTGCATGCCAGATCTGGTTTGTTGGTGATCTTAGCACGTGTTGATATGGTCCCTCCATGGCAAACTGAAGTGTTGACAGGGGTTTAAAAAAAAAAAAAAATTTTTGCTTTTTTTTACTACAAAAGGTGGTCACTGAGAACTTGCCTAATGCAAAAAGGAAATAGAAAAAATAAAAGAAAGAAAGAAAAAAAAAAAAGAGAAAATAAAAGAAAGAAAGTGGCTGGGCCTGTAACCAGGCCACTGAAAAGCTCTTTCGTGGTTGGGATGTTGTAACACAGGTTGAGTCTGGCCTGATGATGTGACACCATAAGTGTATTTTGGGTCATAGTTTGAATTGTGGGGAGGTTGCTTTGCAAATAATAGGGTTTACATGTTACTACATAGTTGTTCCTGTATTGAATATGAAGACTGCAAAGTAAATACATAGTCTAAACAATACAGAGCTTCTTTTTACAGTTTAACACGCTGGTCAGATATCAGAGAGGAGAAAGAAGCTGTAAAGACAACTAGTATCATTTTAAATACCTTCAAGTGCAGAAAAAAAGAGTGTTCACTGGAAGACAGATGGGGTGAGTAGGGTGTCACTCTACATTCTTGCCCGAATCCGCTTTGTCATTTAGCTGAGCTAATGGAAAGGTGAGAGGGGTTTGGTTTTTAAATATTATATTTCCTTTTTTCTTGTCAAACAGCACACAAGAGAAGCATATTGAGGTTTCAGGAGAACAGGAGCATTGACTGAGCACATGGGCATACAGTTTGCAGACAGTTCACAGTTTATGAAGCCCACTGGACAAATTAAACACCGTTTAGAAACTCCTTTAGCTGATCAGATCCACCTTCTGGTGGTGGTGGTTGTCCACAAAACCCCAGCGGATCAAACAGGTGCTAAGCAGATCTGACATCAGCAGTACCACTCTCAAAAATCCAACTGTTTGCTTGCCTAATGACAGACTTGGAATGATGAAGCATCACAGAAACGTTGCCTGTTGCTGGCTGCCACAGGGGCAGCTCATGGATCTGCAGCCACTCCTCCCTGGGCAAACCAGGATGTGTCCTGAGCTGATGTGTCATCTCAATCTGCTGTGACAGGAAACATTCAGGTTCCAGTGGGGAGAGGAACACGGGGTTATGTTCTCAAATAAACCCTGTCACTCCTGTAAGGCGGAGACAACCACTGGCAGAGAAACCGGCATGGGAAGAGAATGAGTGTGGTGTGAAGGAAGAACTTGCTCTGTTAAAGCTTTTTATTATTAGCACCACGCTCTAACCAGCTGAGCTAATCTCAGGGTTTTAACAACCTATTTTTCTGGCTGAGGACAAATAGCTCTGGCTACCAGGACCTTTGCAAAGTCCTGGACCAAACAAGTGCAGAGCACTGTCCTGTTAATGGTCCTGTCTCGTTGTGAAGTGTAGGGGGATGGTTCTCTCTGCCAAGATGTCCTGCTACAGCTGCCTGGAAGAGGCATGAAACTAATCTGCCCTAAGACACCTCTAGAAAATTAGACCATAAGCTGCTTGTGCTGCAGAGAAACATGTCTGTGCTTCTCTCTGCAGCTCTGGATAATTAACTGTCTTGGCCTTGGTTAAGCAGAGGAGCACAGGATCTGTGAGCCTACTGGAAGAGGGGCTTTAAAGGAATTTGATTAGAGTTTTCTGAAAAATTGTCTTCCCTTGGATGCCTGAGATTGGGGGAACCTGGATAGCCCTTTGTTGCTAATGATGCTTGGCAGCACAACCTTCAAGGACTGCTGTTCTCTGCTCTCCTCAGGATGTCACAGCAGGATCCGTGGCTGTGCAGCAGGTAAAGTTATCATCATGTCAAAGGTGTCTCTTTCCTTGAAGAATCCTCAGGTTCCCCTTGACTTATAGTATTTATTTATATCCCTTTCCTCCAAAATGAGGGTTATGTTTAACTTTGGGGTTTTTTAACCCTAAGGAAAAACATTTCGTTGTTGGGGTCAGTGGGTGCAGCACCATCTCTTAGTGGAACGAGCACACAGGAGCTCTTGTGAGACTTGGAATCCCTTGTTGGGGCCACACTTGGCTCAGCACAGGGATGATCGTGGTGTTTCCTCCCTTAGTTCAGTGCACTGCTTGACAAAAGCTTCTGCCCAATCCCCTAATGAGCTTCAGCCCTCTGCCAATTACCTTGATTGCTGTGACCACTTCAATTCTAGGTGTTGGTGGCCAGGCTGGCCCCTCTTCCTTCCTGCCCCTCCAGAACACTCAACAGCTCAATCAGCCACAACAGCAAAGCTCTTCCCAGAGTGTGTGGGGGGAGGCAGCCCGAGGTGCATCCCCAATGGAAAGCTGCTGGAGAGCCACCTCCTCCAGGTGAGAGGGGGTAGAAGGGGCTCCTCTCCAAACAGTCACGAAATTATCAGATTGGTGTGGGGGGGAAGACAGGGCACTAAATACAGAAAGGGGGGAAATTTGTGACCTCCTGCCCTAGAGGATCCATTTGTGTTCTCAGAAGCAAGTTCCAGAACCGGTATCCAGCACACCCTGCAGCTTCCACAGTGATGTGTAAATCGGAAACTACCAGTGCAATGCCACCCCCTGGAGCCATCTGTGCACACCCAGGGATGAGCACCCGGGCTCTCTTAGCTGAAAGAAAACAATGAAAAGAGAAGACTGGGGGAGGAAAGAGCAGCACTGCTTTTTTTTTCTTCCAAGTCAGCTGTTGTTGGCTTAAAAAGATTTATAACCCACAGTCACTCTGGATGGGCTGCTGAACTATAAAGCAACGTTTAGCCCAGAAAAATAACCTGGACCAGCCTGCACCTACACCAGCAAACACCTGCAAAGCAGAGTGATTGCACACAAGCTGCCTACTGGGAACGGCCACTGCAAATGCAGCTAATTAAGTCTGATTCAGCTAGGAGAGGAATTCTTGCCCTACTTAAACCCTGTGTAAATGCTCAGCCTGGAATAAAATGTGCCATGTGAAAATCTGGAGAGAAGAGGTGAGTACTATCAGCAGAGCCTGTGGCTGATCTGATCTGGCCTCCTTAGGGAAATCTGTAGCATAAAAGAAATCAAACTGAGTACCTCCAAGGAAAATATTCAAACAATTCCGGCTGTAGGCAAACCCACATCTAATGCTTCCTTCTGTGGCTGTATGTAATTACCTGCTGACACTTCCTGGGTAAACATGACCTTTGTCACCCGGTCCAGTGTGACACCTTTACCTGTTCATGTGTGTGTGCAAGTCAGAACTGAGAACAACAATTAAGGGCTGCCTGGGACGCACTCAGTGAGCTCAAAGGGAGGGTGGAGCCCTCACAGCAGCCCAGAACCAGTGCCAGTGAAAGCCTCAGCTTTTTCCTTGAGCTCACAGTCTGTCCTAACTGCCTGTGAAAGCAGCAACCAGCTCTGAATTCTTGTCCATGCTGAAATGGGCTGAAAGCTGAAGTGACCTGATAAATATTTATGCAGCAAGGCAGCTATGACATCCAGAGGAGATGGAATACTTCTGGAATACTTTTA